CATCCCTCACACACACACACAGGCATGTTAGACAAGGGCATTCTTGCTATTAACCTCAATCTGTAAGTGCCTCAATGCAGCTTTGCTCAGTCGTAAATACTTTAATTGTCCGTCCTGCATCTCTGTCCCGATTCCCCTTCATTTTCCAGTCAAACACCGAACACTTTAAACAGATATGTGATTTGAGATCACAGATCACAACAGAGATGTGTATTTAAACTTATATATTTATATTCTGTCATAATTTACTCACCCTCATGTCATTTCAAGCCGAATGGCTTGGTTTCTTTCAAGGATCAAGAAAGGAGAAATGTTGAGGAATTTCCTAGCTGGGTCTTTCTCAAAATATGACTTTACAGACAAACAAAAAAGCTTTAAAACAGTGAAGAAACTATCATATAACTATAGTTAAGGCTTCTTTCTATATATTAATCGTTTATTTAATCATATGTTTTATGATTAATATGTTTTTTGCACATTTAAAAAAAAGTCATTGGGGTTACGTGGTTGAATGTTAATGTAAACAATTTTCATTACAAAATATGTATTTAAAGATTTTAAAACTATATAGATTTTGATCTATAGATCTATATAGATTTTTGGATGCGATTAATCGTTTGACAGCACTAATATACGCTAACAAAAGCATTAAAATGCAATGACACTTACATCGTCATCGCAACTCGTGCGCCACTGATAAGGCTGCCTAACGGCTGACGCAGACCTTAAATTCGAATGCAACATTTTTTTTTTAATTCGACGAATATTCGAAATTTGAATTTTTTTTGACAGCCCTAATATATATATATTTAAGTTTTCTCCCATAAAAGTTGATGGCAAGTGTGTGTGTATATATATATATATATATATATACACACACACACACGCACTTGCCATCATCTTTTATGGGAGAAAACTTAAATAAAATGTCCTGATTATTCTCAAAATGAAAGTGAATGGATATGTGGGCTGCTGAGCTCCAAAATGACAAAAAAGCACAATAAATGTTTTATAAAAATAGTTTGTAAACTATATTTCATGTCTTCTGAAGTCATATGTTAGATTTTTCTGAAGAAGGAAATGTAAGCTGTTCATTTAATTTTCATTTTTACATTGGTAAAATTCAGGTCATTGACAAAGCAATGGAGTGTATTTTAAACTCGCATTTGAATATCTTGTTTGCCGCTGTCTGATATGTTTGGTTAAGATGATATGTTGGGTCCTTTTAAACTATAATTATGACACCATACTGTCTCGTTGACTTCACAGACACATGCCAATGAAGGCCACATAAGTCCACTTTGAATGTGCCATTTGGGACAGAGCCAAAGTGAGAGGCAAATCTTCCAAGAGACTGGGATAGTTTAAATCTCTCCCTTTTACATATTCAAAGAGCTCTTTCAGTACTGGCCTGAATTTACCTGCGCGTATCCAGCCACTCGTGGTCCCTCTGAACCCAGCCTTAATTAGTCTGCCGGTCTCACCCGTCAATCATTCCGAGCCGTCCGTGGAGACTGTCATTGAAAAGCAAAGGCAGAGGCGGCCATGACAGGAGGGCAGAACCTGGCATCCCACTCTGCATTACCAAACAGCAAGTTTTAAAGGTGAAGTGTGTGATTTCTATGCCAATAGCATCACCAAACAGAATCGCTAAAATATTGCCTATTTTCAGTCTGAGTAGATCTTGAACACCTGGAGAAATCAATTTGTTAGCATTGGTTAACATGTGAACTTTGAAGAGCCCTCAAATAAATTGGGCAAAACTTCTACTAGAGTAAAGTATAGTGCTGCACGATATTGGAAAAAAACTGACAGGGAAATTTTGTTTTTCTTCAATATGAAAAAATAAAGTTTTTTTTTCAAGATAACCTACTTAGCTTTATTTAGAAATAAATAATCATTCTGTATTATTGGGTGATTTGGTTGAGGAATGCACCTGCTTAGAAAAAAAGAATGAAAAAGCTGAAAAAATATATATTTTAAACTTTTTTTTTTTTAGGTTGAACGATAAAAGGATAAAAGAAATTGAATAATAAAGAAAAATATACAATTGAGTATTTAATAAAAATAATAAAAATCCTTTTATTTTATAGTAATTTTTGAATCTTATTTTTTTTTATTAATTTAGTTAAATGATTAAACTTTTGGCCATTTTCCAAATAAATATATGTGCTGCCAGTTTCAGAGTGAAGCGCAGCAGTGTTTATTTACACGCTTACAGCTCATTATAAAGTGCTTCAGCATCAGTCACATTGGCATAAAGTTTATTTAAAACAATTAAAAAAATTAAAACAGCCTTCGCAATTTGACTATAGCATTAAGCCATGTCGTAATATAGTTTTTTATTTTAATATATACGGTGCAGCCCTAAAGTACAGTAACTTATTGTGAATTTAATTAACTCACTTTTTGTTAGCAGAACAATGTAGTAACACCCATCTACCAGTAGGGGCTAATTGAACCATGCTAACCAACCAAACCATGATATGTTTCAGACAGGTTTCCCGAACAAACCTCTATCTGCTGTTGGCAAACTGTATGTTGTCTCTATGTATGCACACAAGCTGAGACAGGAAAAAGTAAGACCCAGTTTAATGAGAAAAATATGAGGGAATATTGTAAATGATACATGAGTTAGCTGTGGAGAGAGTGAGGAAACAAGCTTCTACGGAGGGTCAGTCAAAATTTGTATGCGAGAGGGGAAGTCTGCTTGGGAGTTTGAGAGAAGATGTGGGGTTTACTATTAACTCGGCTGAGAAATTTCAGCGTAATGCCCTGCGGTAAGAGTAGTGCTGGTTCAGCACTTGTCTGCTTGTGTACTGAGCAACCAGTCATGTTGTTTCTTAACACAGAGAGAAGGAATAACACACTGTTGCTGCTGATCTGAACTGCAATACACACTCCCACTCACAATATGAGCATCAAACGCAGGCCTCCTTCCTTGTTCATACTTCTGCTGCCTGCATTGCGAGTTCATTTACCGGCAGCTCAGGTTGAGATAGCCCTAAAGTAATTTAGAGGAAATGTGTTTGGTTTGGCTCTGGATCAGTAAAGCATTGAGAAATGAAGGAAATACCATCTGAGCCATGCCCTCGGTTGTAAATCCAAGGAATACAGCCATACAGAAACATGCAAACATACTTCCTACTCTTTCTTGTTGAGACGTTTTGAAGGGTGAGTACTGGTCACGTGTCTAGGCCTCAGTGGAGCCACATGTAGGCAGGATGTTCTGGCAATGTGTGCTTGTTTGTGTATGAGGGTTGATAAAACTAGATTTTCTGAAGATTGCGAGTGGTGTTTGGAGAACTCACTGCAACAATGCTAGGGTGTTTTGGGTGGTTGCCAGGGTGTTGCTTAGATGATGCTAAGAAGTGTTTTTTAGCAAGTTGCTATGTGGTTGTCTTAAGGGTGCTTGCTAAGGTGTTTATGGTGGTACTGACTGTTCCACTGTCCATAGGTTTCTGTGATATTCTGGAACCGTAACTTTGCCCATAGCAAAAAACATTCTTAAAAAATGTTCTTAAATTACCTTTTAAAGTCGCTATAGCTTCTCACTTAATGGGATAGTTCACCCTAGAATGTAAATTCTGTCATTTACTCACACTTATGCTTATTCCAAACCAGTACGACTTACTTTCTTCACTCTTAAAAGTAAAGGTTCCAGAAGGTTTTCACCGCAATGTCGTAGATGTAGAAGAACCATTTTGGGTTACCCAAAGAACCTTTCAGTTAACAGTTCTTAAAAGAACCATTGTGAAGAACATTTAAAGAACATCCAAAGAACCTTTTTCTGCTATAAAAAAATTTTTTTTGTACAGTGGAGCATTCATGGATGTTAAAGGTTCTTCATGAAACCATGGATTCCAATAAAGAACTGTTTTAAAATTGTTCTGTGGAATTATCTTTTGAACTTTTTAGAATTGATCCTAAATGTATCCTTAAATTCTTTTCTTAAGAACAGTGGTTTTTGAGCATAATGCTTAGAGCTAAGCCTGAGAATGTGCTAGCAACAGGAAAGCCTGCCTTAGCAAGCGCCACCAATGACTAAGGTTTGTGTGTGTTAACATGCAAATCAAGGAGTGTGTCATAAGGCACACTGCATTCTTTTGTGATGCTTAGTCAGAGCCGTGTGGCACACTCACCACAAATATCAAGTCTGTACTGAGAGACTGGCATCATTGTTCCTGTTAATAATTTGGTCTTGTGTTTGAGGGGAAGAGGGGGATTGTCAGTCTAAATATTCATAATGAAACTTGACAATTTGCCAAAACCTATCCTTCCTGTCACTTTTCTAAAGCTGTACAGTCCAGACAAATCACCCATGTGCTCTGAATCAGCAGCAAAGATCGCCTCCTGTTAACAGTTAACACTAGACTCATACACACAAGCAAAATGTAACACACTCCCCCTCACAGTAACCTCTAATCTCATTGAAACCCTGCAGGCCAGAGCTCTGACAGACACGAAGTAAAGAGAAAAAGCCCGTCACTTCTGCCCTGCCTCATATCGTGCCTCTGGAGTCCCGTCATTAAAGCCAATAAGCTGTAATATCCACTAAACTCTTAGCATGAATTCTTTATAAGCTCTGGGCTCAGGATCATGGTGTCTGAGAGACTCCTGCCATTCGATTTGCAGTGAAAGTATTTGCTCTGGCAATCTAAACATCGCAGTCAGTTATGTGGAAGTCCACTCCAGAGGATTGTCACCACGTTTAGGGAAATAAGATTGAGTTCCTGTGGACTTCTGGGGAGTGATGTAATGGTCAGGAATATTGAGTGAATATGGTTAATATTTCGTCCCCCCAACTACTTTTGCAACCTTATAAACATCTAAAATTAGCTCAAGAATGTTCACGACTGTGATTAGATTTTCCTGGTTTTGGGAAGTTATACCACCTGACAGTATAAGACCCTGCACAGGTATGTAACTTGTCCTCTTACATTATATATATATATATATATATATATATATATATCTTGTTTTCTTTCTCTCTCTTCAAGAGATGGCGTGGAGGGCCCTGGCAGCGTTGTCCCTGCTGCTGTGTTTTGGCTCATCTTGCTGTGATGATACTCAAGATTATTTCTTGTCTGATACCGTCATCAACAATGTCGTTCAGGACCCTCAAACCGGCCGAATTTATGTGGGTGCCATTAATAACATCTATCAGCTAAACTATGACTTGCTGAAGGAAAGCAGTGCTGCAACAGGCCCTAAGACGGACAACCCACACTGCACTCCACCAATCACTGCACAGTGCACTGATGCAAAGGATATGGACAACATCAACAAACTCCTGCTGGTAAACTCCGCCAACGGCACCTTGATTGTTTGCGGAAGCCTTTTCAGGGGCATCTGCTCTTTGGTAAACCTCAACAGCGTGGACGAACAGGTGTACTACAGTGACACTAAAGGTGAGAAGACGTACGTAGCCAGCACGGAGGAGTCTGTTGCCGTTGTGGGAGTAATTTCTTATTTTATAGAAGCTCATAATAATGCAAACCTCAGCATATTTCTAGTGGGGAAGGGCTATGGTAGCTCGGACAGTTCGAAACTCATCAGCACCCGATTGCTGCAGGAGCATGGAGAAATGGATGTCTTTGAGAACATGGTTGAAGCTTCCACTGTGCAAGCTAGTCCTTTCGTCCAGCGTTACCTCCACGACTTTCGCCATGCTTTCAAAGACAATGGCTACATCTACTTCTTGTTTTCGCGCACTCCGGGCACTAGTGACAGCAGGAAGATCACATTTATAGCACGCCTGTGCGAGAATGACCATCATTATTATTCTTACACCGAACTTCAGCTCAACTGCTCTGTCAGCACTGAACAACAGGAGAACACGTACAACAAGGTCCAAGCGGTGTATCTGGCCAAACCAGGAGAAGTTTTGGCTAGGAAAATCATCCCTTCGAATCCCAATGATAAGGTTCTGTTTGCGGTGTTCAGCGTGGATGAGGACGGTGGCCATTCTGCCTTGTGCATGTACCCGCTCAGCAGCATTAACACCAGGCTTGAGGAGGTGATTGAGTCCTGCTACGTAGGAGAAGTTCTGGAGGACGAGAAACCAAAAACTGTTGACCTGCCTCATATCGTGCCTCTGGCGTCCAGTCCTTAAAGCCAATAAGCTGTAATATCCACTAAACTCTTAGCATGAATTCTTTATAAGCTCTGGGCTCAGGATCATGGTGTCTGAGAGACTCCTGCCATTCGATTTGCAGTGAAAGTATTTGCTCTGGCAATCTAAACATCGCAGTCAGTTATGTGGAAGTCCACTCCAGAGGATTGTCACCACGTTTAGGGAAATAAGATTGAGTTCCTGTGGACTTCTGGGGAGTGATGGAATGGTCAGGAATATTGAGTGAATATGGTTAATATTTCATCCCCCCAACTACTTTTGCAACCTTATAAACATCTAAAATTAGCTCAAGAGTGTTCACGACTGTGATTAGATTTTCCTGTCTAACACAATAACGTTGAATGCCGCGCTGGTTATTGTAGGGGTTGTTTACAGAAGGAGGACAGGATTGTTTGGCCCACCTGCTGAGGTTGTACCCATAATTCATTGAGCCCCCTTCTGTTATGCTGGAATCAGGCTGCCCTGTGATTGCTTTGATGAGCGTTTGACTTCCGCCCCAGTGTTTTTAGGACCTGCTGAAGTGCTGAGGGGACGGATGAAAAGGAGAATGAAAGGAGTGCAGGAGTGGAGGACGAGCTTCTTTAGAAATGCTTTGCTTGTATCAGCATGTCAAATCACGCAGCCATCTGCAACCCCTTTGAGGGAAGAGTTGAGAGGCCTGATCGATTTTTATTTTAACTTAGTCTTTGTTGGTAGCACTTTTGACTAGTGCTTACTTCAGTATAGTATAATGATGCATACCAAAGAAATTCTCCAGCTTCCAAAAAGACGTCAGTTTTCAAGTGTGAATTTATTAGTTCTGCCTGCTAAGGCGTGCATCTCTATTGGGTCAATAATAAAAGATCTTCCATTTTTGCTATCTCATTTGTCAATTTAGTTTAAAACTCATGTTCCAAGTTCTTAAAAATGTATTTTATGTATTCATGTTGGATTCTTTTGAAAAAGCAACACATTAAAACTATGTTCAGCAAATGTTTAAATTCAATGAAAAATGTTATATGGTGTAGCCATCAAGCTAAAAGTAAAACACCTTCCTTAAAAACCTCAATACATGTGACTTTACACACATGACAAATTATTTTCAAAAAGTTTTAAAATACACTTTTCAGTTTTAAATTTTACAAATATAATTATTTTCATGAATTCATAAATGTCATTAAGTTTTGGGAAGTTATACCACCTGACAGTATAAGACCCTGCACAGGTATGTAACTTGTCCTCTTACATTATATATATATATATATATATATATATATATATCTTGTTTTCTTTCTCTCTCTTCAAGAGATGGCGTGGAGGGCCCTGGCAGCGTTGTCCCTGCTGCTGTGTTTTGGCTCATCTTGCTGTGATGATACTCAAGATTATTTCTTGTCTGATACCATCATCAACAATGTCGTTCAGGACCCTCAAACCGGCCGAATTTATGTGGGTGCCATTAATAACATCTATCAGCTAAACTATGACTTGCTGAAGGAAAGCAGTGCTGCAACAGGCCCTAAGACGGACAACCCACACTGCACTCCACCAATCACTGCACAGTGCACTGATGCAAAGGATATGGACAACATCAACAAACTCCTGCTGGTAAACTCCGCCAACGGCACCTTGATTGTTTGCGGAAGCCTTTTCAGGGGCATCTGCTCTTTGGTAAACCTCAACAGCGTGGACGAACAGGTGTACTACAGTGACACTAAAGGTGAGAAGACGTACGTAGCCAGCACGGAGGAGTCTGTTGCCGTTGTGGGAGTAATTTCTTATTTTATAGAAGCTCATAATAATGCAAACCTCAGCATATTTCTAGTGGGGAAGGGCTATGGTAGCTCGGACAGTTCGAAACTCATCAGCACCCGATTGCTGCAGGAGCATGGAGAAATGGATGTCTTTGAGAACATGGTTGAAGCTTCCACTGTGCAAGCTAGTCCTTTCGTCCAGCGTTACCTCCACGACTTTCGTCATGCTTTCAAAGACAATGGCTACATCTACTTCTTGTTCTCACGCACTCCAGGCACCAGCGACAGTAGGAAGATCACATTTATAGCACGTCTGTGCGAGAATGACCATCATTACTATTCTTACACCGAGCTCCAGCTCAACTGCTCCGTCAACACTGAACAACAGGATAACACGTACAACAAGGTCCAAGCAGTGTATCTGGCCACACCAGGAGAAGTTTTGGCTAGGAAGATCATCCCTTCAAATCCCAACGATAAGGTTCTGTTTGCGGTGTTCAGCGCGGATGAGGATGGTGGCCGTTCGGCCTTGTGCATGTACCCGCTCAGCAGCATTAACGCCAGGCTTGAGGAGGTGATTGAGTCCTGCTATATAGGAGAAGTTCTGGAGGATGAGAAACCAAAGACTGTTTATTCACCCTACATCTCCAAGACTGAGGCCATCTGCAAGACCAAAAGAGATGTGAGTTGTTGTATTACTTCAATTCTGGTTCCATTTTTTGTGGGCCTTTACGACCCCTCTGAATGTGGTGTGTCTTTTCGCCCAACAGAAGAACATGGTGAAGGCATATAAATGCGGTGCAGAGTTCCTGCCGTCTCCACTAGCCAGTAAACCTGAGTACGCTCTAGCTGTCAAACCCATCTACACCCGAAATGACATGCTGACAGCTGTAGCTGTGGCGGTGGAGAATGAGCACACTGTGGCATTTTTGGGAACCAGTGGAGCAGATGTCTTAAAGGTGAGTCCCATTCCAGGGTCTGGTTTCTGTCCACTTTAAATTTCACTAAAGCCCTTGAGGTTTGACTGCTGTGGTGGTCTAGCTTGGTGGTTAATAATACGGGCTGGAAACCAAAACGTTGTTGGTTCAAACCCAAGAATGGGTGATTTACAGTATGAGCTGCAACCACTTGAGAAATAAACTTAACCCTAGGGCTTGCTCTAGCTGTACTGCCCATATAATACAGTGTTTACATGTAAGTTGCTTTGGATAAATGCATTTGCCAAATGCATGAATGAATTAACTTTCTGCTTGCAGGTGCATCTTGACCCCAGTCACCCTGATCTTTATAACAAGATTCTAGGGGAACGCACAGACGGTGGGGTGAACAAAAACCTCTTTTTTAATTCAACTTTGGATATCTTGTACATCACCACTGGCAGAAAGGTTTGTTTATCCACAACTCATATATCACAGTGAGTCAACAGAGATCATGCACTGGTTAAAACCTGTTTGAATGATGTAGGCTTGCCAATCTTGATGGAATTTTTTATGAAATGGTGCAGAAAACATATAGAGATATCTTGAAATATCACATGTGACATCCCTAGACTCTGTAATCTGCCACAAAAATGTAACAGTAGGCTGTGTCATATTCTTTTAGCCAATCAGAAGACTTTGGGGCGCTCTTTTCCCATCAGTCATTTTGCTCATTCACATGGCCCATATATTAGAAGCGGGAAACTCGGAGTGTTGAAGTGGATCACTCAAGTTAACTGCCATAAGCTGCTTCATAAATTGACAGTTTTTTGCACACAAATGTTATTTTGCAAGGCAACACTTCTGATGTTGCTGAGATTATATGCTAAAGGTATGGATATGGTAAAGGTTTTGGGTCCTAAAGATATGGCAAAAAGTGCTTGACGATGGACAATGGACCTTTTTTTATAATGTGATCTCACCTCAAACTCTTAATACAAATGCTGAACCTTCAATCACATATGCATCAGTTATTAGGCATCTTAAACTAAATAAGTGAACAAATTGGTCATTTAAAGGTTGTGGCTGTTGTCTTATTTGCTTCTCTTTTGCTTAGATCACCAAAGTGCCAGTGCAGGCCTGTGAGCAGAAGAATGATTGTCAATCATGTGTCTCCCAACGGGACCCATATTGTGGCTGGTGTGTGTTGGAAGGCCGGTAAGTCTTTTAGACTCATTTTATTACCAAAAGCACACCATCAGTTGGGCATTCTTGTCCAGTAAAGGGCAGGACAAGTAATAACACTGCCATACTACAACAGAGTTTAATATTTCTATTGTCAAATAAACTTAGATCCATGGCCCCTATGGGTCATGTGACTAACATCCTTATTAAAGTATGTTTTAGAATACTAAGCAGTTTAGTGATCTCAAAATTGTTTAAACTCTAAAATATGGTGTAATCTAAGTCTTAGAGTTGCCTGTTACAAATTTAGCGAGCGGTATGTGGTAGATATCTGTGTGCAGTCCAGTTAAAGTGAATGCAGTATGGCTCATTACCAGTGTTTGTCTGCTTTGCTCTTGCAGTTGTACAAGGAAAAAGGATTGTCGCAAAGGAGAAGGAAAGAACGCCTGGTTGTGGAGTCCAAAACAAACATGTGTTACCATTGAGTCCTTCGAGCCCCCCAACATCAGCTGCAAGAAAACAGAACGTACACAGGTACTAAAGCATAGCATGTACACAAACACACACACTGTGATACAGTCTGGAGTTATTTCAAACCCTAACCTCTTAAGGATTGACTCAGGATTGATATTTACTGGCTGTAACAGATCCAGTCTGTGAGTCTAATCCTTTTTTCATGAGATGACATGATGAAGTTACTAAACAAGGCATCTGAAACTATCATTTCATACCACATGAACGCACAGAGCACTTTTCATGCATTTCTAATATGTCTCAGAAGAAACTCAAGTGGTCATGGTTGATTGAAGAGGCTTCCTGTATACCATAATTAAATTCCTGGATCAGTGGTAATGAATAAAGGCAGTACACTTCTAACTTGTTTACTATTTGCTGAAATCAGTATTATTTCAAATTTCATATTGCGTATTTTAGGGGAAATACAGTTGTGCAAAACCTAGAAATGTCTGGGAATTTTAACATTGTGTTTTTCACAACAAAAATCTTTCATTCATTCATTCATTTATATATGTTTGTATTTATTTAGTTATTTCCTAAATCCTTATTTTCTGGTTTAAACTTGCAGGTGATGATTGACATCCCCTCCCTCCCCAGTGTCAGCAGTCCTGATAGACTTCACTGTGAGTTT